TGAGGAAGAGGGGACACTTGTTGATGTAGAAGAGACATGAAGAAGAGGGGACACATGTTGATGTAGAAGAGACATGAAGAAGAGGGGACACATGTTGATGTAGAAGAGACATGAAGAAGAGGGGACACATTTTGATGTAGAAGAGACATGAAGAAGAGGGGACACATGTTGATGTAGAAGAGACATGAAGAAGAGGGGACACATGTTGATGTAGAAGAGACATGAAGACGAGGGGACACATGTTGATGTAGAAGAGACATGAAGAAGTGGGTTTTGCATAATAGGTGACCTTTAAAGTCCTAATGGGGACACATGTAAAAAGGAACAGACAGTTATGACATGTTTAATGATAATTTATGTTTGTGAATACTTAGTATGTATTCATTTGTTTTGGATGTAAACACGGTGTTGATCATGAAGAGTTACTGTTGATTGAATTAGACTCTATACATTTTGCTGTCAACTCTGATATCTTCCGACAGAATATCCTTTAAAGCAACCCAAAGCCCTTCAGACGAATTCATTTAAAAAGCTCAGCGAGGAGGAAGGGTCACGGCGGGGGTGGGAACAGCAGGCGGTGTGTGAAGTTCACACGGTGTCACACCAGAATCAGAGACAAGGCCTGACACAGCAGGAAGGATCAGAGCAAAGGCTGCCTCAGAGCGTTAGTATTCATCCTGTATGCACTTAACCCTGCAAGCAATCTCAATTAGATAACACCCTTTCTGTCTGAAGCATGCTGACACCTAATGGCTGCCCATTTAGAGTCATATTTATACACTTTGTCCATAAATTACACCACTTACATAAGCTAATGGAACAATTCCAACATAGTTATATGTGATCTGGACTATTCTGAAAACGCATACTATGTTTCCAATTCATCAAATGTCTTGTTTATGATTTATTTTTGCCAGATTCAGTCAGTACGTTCTGACGGTGTGTCATGGAGAAAGATAGACACCTAGAGGCCACTGCAAAACTCTTTCAATAGAAATGTGGAACAAATCAGTCGGTATCAAAAAGCTTCAAAATAACAACTGCTCCTGTTAGAGAATGGATTTCATCTAAGTACTAAAATATATGAAGCCCTGGGCTGGGATTTGTCAAATTAGCACACCTAATGGACTCAAGTACAGAGTATCCTCCACTTCACAATCAAACTGTATAATAAGATAATTTAAGATAAGACTTTATTAATCCTGAAGGAAGTAGTTGTGCCAGAGCAGCATATAATAAAACTGTACACTAACAGTGTGTGTTCGCTTAAAATACTCTTAAGTCCCTCAAATTGGTTAGAAGTAGACCCCTGATGACTGCGATTCAGAAACTGAGATGAGATTTTAATGGAACTTTTTGGGAATGCTAAAAGTACAAAAGACTATGAAGAAATATACAGTCTTATTACAAAAAGAGTCATTTTGAGCCTGCTGCTTTCTCATTAGCTGTAATACAACCACAAGAATAAAGCTTTTTATTTTGCAAACATCTTCAGTCCACCCACAGGAGGCAGCGTAGACCTCCATATTCAACACACACACACACACACCCCCATCAGCTTTAAGCCGGTGTCAGAGCGTGCAGATTGTTGACTGTCCTGAAGCTCCTCTGTGGTGATGAGTAAACACTCTGTGGATTTGTGTCACTTACACCAGAGAGCAGCATGTGACTAACACACACACACACACACACACACACACACACACACACACACACACACACACACACACACACACACACACACACACACACACACACACACACACACTTACCTTGCTCCATCCCATTCTGTAAATAAAAGGCAGGGTGAAGGCCACAGCAGTGAGAAACACAGCCAACACCATTATGGTTCGATGAAGCTACAGAGAAAATGAAAATGAGGGAGGTGGACAATTTAAAACTTGATGAAGACTAGATCTGTGTTATATTCCCCAGATATTTTATGTGAGATTCCAGAGCCTATCCCATGTGTGTGTGTCATTGTAATTGTTGTAACGGATACTGGTGCTCTCACCTGAAACCAAAGCTTTTGTCCCAGCAAAGTTTTCTCAGGCCAGACGTTTTTGTAGTGGCGAGCAATGAAGATGGCTGTGCTCACCATCCACATCCAGACAGTCAGCATTAAAACACCTGAGGGAACAGAGATAAGGGGGAAAACATGTATAATTCTTAAGCACTTTACTTTCTGTCCGACTGCCATGCTCTGTCTTTGTGTTGCCTGTTTTATTTTGAAACGTTTTTCATCCCCTGTTTAATGTCTGCTTTTACTTCCTGTCTGTAGGTTTTCAAACCTGGATTGTTTTTACCTACAGCCCTTGTGTTGTTGCCGGTCCTCTCCAGCTGCTTTTATTTAAGTCCTTGTCTTCTATTGGCTGTTGTTAAATCATTGTATGTCGTCCCTTTGGAAAGTTCTGTACGGTTACGCTTTGTCTTCCCCACCCTTCTCTACTTTCCTATAGTAAATTAAAGCTAATCTATCCATTAAAAAAACATCTTGGCTTTCCACTAAGGTTTTTGTTGGGTTTTCATTGGGACTGACTGAATCAAATAACACATAGCAGAAGTCACAGATGGGAGACTAGGTTGTAAGGAATGATTCTTTTTAGCATGATATTTCACACCAGAATTACTTACAATAGTATAGCGTTAGCACATGGTAACTAGACCCATATGAATGTAATGTTTGTCAACCGACCGTGGATCTTGATGAGCAGAGGGGAGCGGGAGCCACCGAGATCCTCAGGAGAACCCGTGATCTCCTTCTGGTTCGAGGAGATGAGAGGTTGGCGATCATGTCTGTGGATAAAACCTGTGGAGGACAAACTGCTGACAACATGGACTCTGGACTCAATTACACAAAATGTTATTAAAACGCACAAGAATTTCATGTCAACTCAGTATATAGCTCTGTGAAGAGGAATTGACAACAAAAAGTTAAAGTGACCGTTTAACTTTTAGTTCATTCATTTAAGTATTCATCCAAAGTGACCTAGGCTGGCATCATATTATCATAACCAATTGTCCCTTGTGGGACTAATAAAGTTGTTGATTGATTGATATTGGTAGTGGATAGGAATAACTAGCTATTGTTTTGTAAGCCTTGCATACCCATCATGCTAAACATCAAGTCACTGCTGTCTTACCCTGCTGAGATCTACCGTTTGCAAGAAACAGGAAGTAGCTCTGGCTCAAGTTGAACCTGCTCTCAGCAGGGTAAGACAGCAGTGACTTGATGTTTAGCATGATGGGTATGNCACACCTGTGCAATATGCATGCGTCTAACCCGAAAACATTTTTTAATCATGATATGCCACAGCTGTGAGGTGGGATGGATTATCTCGGCAAAGGAGAAGTGCTCACTATCAAAGATTTTTTCAGACTTGTGATCAATATTTGAGAGAAATGGTTATTTTGTGTATATAGAAAATGTTTTAGATCTTTGAGTTCATCTCATGAAAAATGGGAGCAAAAACAAAAGTGTTGCGTTTATATTTTTGTTCAGTGTAAATAACCTACTGAACATTCATATTGAAGAATGTCTGTCCCTCCAGCACACACTCACACTATCTATCATAAGAAAATAGTGCCAGACTCTGAAGTTGATTAAAAAGCTCACCACACAGCGCATTGCTCACTTACATTCTGACTAACAGCCCACACAGAAACACAATATTGTATTTCTCATGCATTATTCTAGAGTCAGCACATCTCCTGTAACACTACACCATTATCTACAAGGAAAGTGGAGCAGGGAGCTATAGTGGCTGTACACACCCAGTGACCTGTGAGTGATGTAGGTAACCTGGGATCAATTTACACTGCCCTCCATTCTAAATGGTATCAGATAAAACTGCAATGCACATCAGTGTTTCCCACAGAATGTGATTCTATTTGTGGGGGCACCGCAACCCCGGCAAGAAAAGCCAAAGGCCCCTTACCCTATTCGGGTGGCCCGCGCATCCACCTATTTAGTACAGTCCCGAGATAAGAAGTTATCTCTACACAATTGAACTTGCGTCCAATTTCTTGTCTAAATGCGTTTACTACCTCAGGCTCGGCCAAACAACCTGTTAAACACGTAGAAAACCGCCTATCAGACGCCTCTCTTATCTGTTTGTTAGCTGCAGAATCGCCCTCAGGTTCAAGTAGTCCGCCACATTGAGCCTAATGGAGCGTGTCACTTTGTGTCTGCCTGCTCTCAGGTCGGGGATAATCAGGAGGAGAGTGTGCGGCTCAGGGAGGCAACCCGGCGTCTGTACTCTCAGCTGAAGGAGATGGAGAAGAGGCATCAGGAGGAGAAGGAGAGAATGCAGGTCTGTCTCACAAGATTAGTAACACGACACGATTTCCTGTCTGCAGCTATGACTCACTCCTCTGCTGCTGTCCTGTTCATTTAATCACCCTCATTATCTGCCAGTCTTATCTCTGGACTTCATCCCTCATCCCAGACCCCCCCCCACTGTGTGGGTCTTTGCCCTACAGCACATTCATCTGTCAGGTCGAGCAGGGACACACTGCCCACAGACTTAACATAGGCTCATCTGTCAAGGACTGTAGCTGTGGTCTGCGCTAATACCCTTTTAGAGTCAGTGGCACCAACAATATTGCACTGATACATCAGGCAGACAGAATCTGCATTGTACATTTGTCTTGGGTCATTTAACTCAATCAGAAAAAACGTTAAAGTTGTGATTCAGACAAAATGAAGAAATGTAGACAACCACAAAATGTTACAGTTTTTTACTTTGAATTATTTCCTTTATGTAGGCTACGATTACCTTCTTTTCTTTTCACATTGTGGGAGTATATGTCAACAGCAAACTCAAAGATCAGAGCTTTTAGTATACATACAGACTGCAAATACTAGAGTATACTTTATTATGTCACTTTTCCAATGTGAACACACAATAACGTATCTTCTTAATATGTTTTTCCTAATAGTTATAAAGAATAAAAAAACAAACCAACTTCATCCATTAGAGTTACAGATTTCCCCGATATGACTTGTATTACTGTACTTACTGTAGTGCCAATAGGGATTATGCATTTATATCCCTTTCAGGGGCACTTTTTGGTTTTCCCTCCAAATAAAGTGGTTCAAATAATCTGGTTTAACTGTCAGCTAGCCCTAAACTCCTGTAATCTGATCAATCAGTGATTGAAAACAGTTTGGATGTGTGGAGCCTTTGACAGAGTGTCCATTACTCCTTGATCACAGGAAGGCTATTTCTTACTCTGTGGCTCCCCTCACAGGTAGAGGCAGAGGAGTGTGGCGTCCGTGTGGCGGAGCAATTTACGCGTCTGCAGAAGGTGGATGAGCAGTCGAAGGAGAGGGGTCAGCAGGTGGAGGAGCTGCAGAGGCTGCTGGGAAACATGGAGATCGAGAGCGGCGTCCTCAGAGACAAGATGGCTGCAGGGGAGGCAGAGCTGCTGAAGCTCAGAGCAGACGGGGAGGAAAGTGAGGAGAGTGAAGAGAGTGAGGAGAGGTGAGAGTAGGAACAGATGAGCACAAGTACAATATGTGGGCCAGTTAGGAAGCAGAGCCATAAATAACAAAACACAGTGTGTATTGCCCAATAATGTTATTTATTTAACTCTTGTATGTCCCGCAAAATGTATGTAAATATCATTTAGCATGAGAGATCACAACCTTAAATATGATGTGAAATTGATTTATCTGTTAAAAATATGTTCCTAGTGTGCAAAATAAATATGTTACAAATCACATAAATACATCATCTATAGTAAAAAACTAACAAAGAAATACAATTTCAGTCATTTTTCTTAATCTATGGTTTTATTGTATACTTTATGTGTACCAAATGTGACAAAGTGGTCTCATATATTTGTGTGTGTTTGCAGGTGTGAACAGCTGGAGACGGAGGTGGCCGGCCTGAAGGAGAAGATCCATCACCTTGACGACATGTTAAAGAGCCAGCAGAGGAAAGTTCGCCACATGATCGAACAGGTATTTACTAGCAGTACAAAGTGCACACACACAGACACACACAATGCAAATGAGCTCTCTGGTACACAGGAAGCCATTAACGCGGAAATTACATTTTGAGGAGGCGGACACATAAAGCGTTATTGATTTTTGCGGGAGAGAAGCAAAGAGGAAACGTGTGGTGAAACAAAACTTGCTTGTCATGAATAAGTGATGCTGCATCTGCTCTTTTGGATAAGTGAGCTGTCTTGCTCCTGATAACTCACACTGTTTGTTTGTTTGTTTGTTTGTTTGTTTGTTTTGCCCATGGTACAGCTGCAAAACTCCCGGACGGTGATTCAAGAGAGAGATCGCTTCATCGGGGATCTGGAGGAGAAGGTGGCTTTCCTGGAAGCTGAGGTCAGGATAACTGCATCACAATCTGAATTAATCACTACTGGCTATTTAGTGTTGGGAAGGTACATTTTGATTTGTAATAAGTTACAGACTACTAGTTAACCTGATAGAAATGTAAGCAGTCTTTTAACTGACTTACAGTTTGAGACTGGAGCAATAAAGCTTATAAGTCCTAAAAACATAAACAAGATTACAGTAATGTGAAAGCCCTTTTTTTCCTTTCAGAAGGAACATATTATGTATTTTCCACTGAAAGGCGGTCTTGTCTGACGAATTCATGTGGTCGGCTGGTCACAAGAATGGCAGACTTAGGGCAGTGCAAATTCAAATGACAACCAATCAAAAAAGACCACTTGATATTTGAGTTTATATTGCCAAATAAATGGTGCTTGTCCTCACTTAGAGACAGCTCTATGTGAGGACAAGTATATGACAAATATAGATAAGACTATTCTAACTAGGACTGCATTTATTTTGCAGTTATATAGTACTGTATGTGTTTGTGGTTGACCTTTCCCACCTTTTCAATCAAATTAAAGCTGAGAAATGGTCCTGCATGTAAGAAATGTATGCTGCCGCTCCTTAATTGCACCTTTTTTCACACAATGTACTGACTGTAACCCCTTTCTGTCTGCAGAACAGACAAATGCATGACCACATGGAGTACTTCCTGGCAGGCCAGGAGCCTCTGACGCCCACTGAGAACAAACCAGAGGTTGTTTACAGGTGAGCTGCTTCTTATTCTCAGTGAGATTTGGTCTTCTGAGAAGATTTAAATGTCCATGTAAACAAGCTTTTTATTTTTGTGTGCAGTAAAACACTTACACCGACGTCACCGACCAACAAGACCCTCCCGTTCATCAAAGTCATCGAGATCATGTCCTGAGTGGGGTGTCAACCAAAAGAATGATTACAGTGTAAATGTATTTAACCACACACCTTTATGAAACAAAGATCTGGAGTATTTCAAAAAGGCTTGCTTAACAGACCTCATGGTGACGAAGCACTTGGTCCTTTTTAGAACCTGTTACTTTTGAGGCTGTTCTGCGTACCTTCAGAGTCTCTAAGTGTCTAACAGAATCTAAAGAAGGAAAGTTATGGGGAACTCAACTTAGGATCCAATGATAGGAGGGATTCTTGAAAGGAAACAATACAGCACGAGTGAAGTTACGTTTATTTTCCAACTCTATTTCTCCAATGCAGCAATAAACTGCTTGAAAGGTCAATTCAAAAGGATGGTTTGAGACTAATATCTGTTTATGTTGTACATTTCTCCATTACAAATTGATTTGGAAAACCTTATACAAATCTGCAATTAGATTAGATTTTCAGCACTTCTTCAACCTACAGCCTGTTAACCATGACCCTGAGCTGCAGGGTCACATTCCTCAGTGCTTTGCACCACACTGCTAATGGCAGGCAGTTAGCTATTTCAATGCTAACATATGATTAATGTTTAACTTAAATGTATTCCTCTGACATAAGAGTGGGATTAATGTAAAATGAGTGATGCTATATTATATCTATTATAAAGTTAACCTTTATTTTATTAATGCTGGAAAATACTTATTATACGGCTACCTTTAGAGGCTAGTTTTTATTTCTTATCTATGCTGCCAAGTGCTGCCTCAACATCCTTATTATATATCCTGCCTGTGCTAAACGTTTGCATATTTAATAACCACCTTGAAGTGATAACTGACTTCCATAATAATACATTGTCTGTATGCTTTTTCTGTAAAATACTTTCAATCCAGTATGTACATTTTTATAAAGTCCCATTTACTGTGAACACTGAAGTTGTCTGTTGCTGTAGTGTAGACTGTCATCATTTGTTTCAACCTTTATATATACAGTATATGGTTTCAACGAAAATCCTTTTGTTCTCTGATTCATTTGATGTACTCCTTGAGTTTTTCACACCTAACTTGTATCGTCTGTGTTGCATCTTTACTCCTTGACCTTGTACTGCCACCTAGTGGAGATAATAAAGACAATGAAAATGAAGACATGGGTTGTAAGGCTTTTTATCTCAAATCACTAATGTGTACAACCTCACATAAATAAAAATCACACAATGTCAATTAAATAAATTAATGTCCTTAAATAAATATCTTACATCTGTACAAACACAGAAAGTCAAAATGTACACTCGTATTTACAATTTGAGAAAAATAAAAATGAATCCAGATAACTGGCCATTAACTTTGCTGTTTTTACAAAAATGACAATGGGAACCCTGCCAGGTTGGCTACAATCACATTTGTCCTCTGCACACGCTCATTAGGTCCAAAATATGAAAAAGGCCCTCGGTGTACATATGGGCCTCACAAAGATTTTGAAAATGGACATTTATTTTTCTATGTAATTCTTTAAAACTACCTTGTGTGACTTACTGTGATAAAATGTATATCCAACTTGTGGGTGAATTTTAAAGCTCATATAAAGCTAGTGTTACAGTTGGTAGTTTCCTGGTGCACACATGCTCCACAGAGCACACATTTATAGACAGCAGCCTCTCAAAGGGTGCTCTCCAGGGTGTTGTAGTTGTCCTTGAAACTTTTGAGCTCCAGAAAGTGTTTGGGCCTCTTGCTGCGCTGGCCAGTGGAGGGCAGGTAGGTGACCTGGATGGTGGAGGGGGTGCTCCGGACCGGAGAGCCCGTCAGGTCCTTGGCTGCAGACTGGTGATGCTGGTCCAGACTGGTGCTGCTGGAATAGGCTTTCACCCTGAGGGGGGCAGAGAAAAAATGATAATAGTACACATAATAATATTTAGTCATTTGAAACGAAATAGCAGCAGTAACTATAGTAGTAAAAACCAAGGTATAGACTGTCCTGCGCTGAAACACAAGACTAGTGCAAGTAGGTCTTTCTAAGGAAATGCCAAATTGCTCTAACCCAATTGATTTCTTAGCAGCTTCTAGATAGAGGGATCATCTAACGTTCATATACTAGAATATTTTATACTGACCATTGAGTTTATTTACATTTTTCTGATGAATTAAACTAGACTCTGCCCCACACTGGCTGTTTAAAAAAAAGGATGATCGAAATCTAGACAAAGTTTTTATTATCACTTGATTTTATTGCTCTAAACTTTCCAATACAATTGAAAGCATTCAATACACTACCCTATCAGTGTGAGCAATGCAGATTGAGAAACTTTCTCCAGCAATGTTGCAAGACTAACAATTTCAAGTCTGGACCAGTACAGCAACACTTACACATCAGCCAGTTCGTTGAGAGCTTGCTGGTATTCGAGAAACTCAGCTTCCCCAAATACCTGAAACAAAGAGTCAAAGGCAAATCAGTAACATGCTACAACGGAACTCTTAAACCAATTATATTCGATTTTGCAACTTGTACGGACCCCAGTCCCGTGGCGAGCGCTGTCGTAGCCTTCAAGTAAACGGTCAATGAGGGCGCTGCGGCTGCTCTTTATCAGAGAGTGGGAGTTACGCAGCTCCATCAGCCAGCTTCTGAAGTTGCGTCCAGTAAACGCACTGGGACAGCGGCTTATCTCCTGCAGAGGAATTCCTGAGGTCATAACAGGAAGGAACAAGAAGTGAAGGTTAGAGAAGTTGAAACTTCAATGAAAATTCCCCATGGGAATTGTGGGTGACTGCTAAAACAAAAGGTTAAGTAATGGAGAATAATAGAATTATCAAAAAAAAGATATTCTTGGAGAATAATGAATGTAAAGCTGTTTAACCAGCGAATGAAAATATACATACACCTGCAGAATAAAAAATATTTTAACATCAAATTGAATCACCTGAGTCACGGATTGCATCCAGAGCTTTCATTCTGTACAGGTAGTTGAAGCAACCTGAGAAATATGGGAACATATTTTAGTTACATCATGAAAGAACGTCTTTAACACTTAAAGATAGCTTCAGGTGAAAATAAGAAGAGATGAAAAAGTGACTGACTGATCTGTGATCCTTGCTTCAGCCTATCGTCTTCTTCTTCTAAGAGACGAGGTTCGAAGCGGATCTCCTGGACCTTGGACAGCCTGGAGTCAATCTGCTCCCTCAAACCCTGTGAATCAATTCACAAAGAAAATAAATACACACATTAACTTTTACACCAACAGCAGCTGCTGCATATTCAAGGGTGTAAGTGATTGGTAAGGGCTATTTACCAGTTGAAAATTGCTAAAGAACAAAGGCAGATATATACATGTTCCAATAGCAGCTTGGGTGGTGAAATTACATTGTGAATTTATGGAGATATCAATGTTTTAAGTCAAGAAAACTGTCCACAAATCTGAGGGAGTAGGTTTTATTGATCAGCTTCTATAAGCATTATTGAGAACATAAAACCCATTTAAAGATATTGTTAATGTGGCATTTTAATAGGATATTGGCCGGGGATCATATGAAACTGTGAACATAAATACACTCCCTCTAGGCAAACAAGAGGTACATAGACTTTAAAAAGGAGATCGTCTTTACCTTTGGTGCATTGTGGCCAATAGGTGCATGTGGTCCTCGGCGGGATCTCATTGCGAAACGCATGATTTGCCTTTTGACAAAGATAAACAGCAGCACAAACACCTGCAAATGTAAAAGGAAAGGGTTTCAACACGAGCATCATCACATAAGCCCCTATCAGATAACAACTGAAACTGAAACTTACTTACCAGGCTTCCATATGCCATAACCAGCACAACATTAACCCCTGATAACGACTCTGCCATGTTATCTGTCAGTGTGTACAGTCTATCTACAGGTCATTTAGCTCACTCGGCTAACAATGAATCTAACGTTATTTGCTACATTAGCTTCATAGCTAACGCTCGGTGGACCATTATGAAAATAATGGCCAGTGCTGCCCAGACGACAAATTGTTTAGGTCTGCAGGACTGTTAAAAAATAAGATACTATTCAGTAATCGTACTGATATGCCTCTTCATGTTCAGCGACATCATGCAAAGTACGCAGTTTAGCTTGTGCTAGCTAGAAGCCGCAAGGCGACAGCAACAATTGATTTGCGACGCTCCAAATTACCGTAATAACCGTGTTAGTAGGACCAGT